AGATGTAAATTAGTATATATGCCTGAGTGGGTTTTTTTTTGTTTGTGTGTTTTTTAAAAAGCTAAAGTGGATAGAGAAAAATACTGTTAACTGATGGTACATGAAGGGGATTATAATCAATATAATGAAACAAGGTATATGATTTGTTGAATGTAAAACTGATTATATGCCCTGTAAACTTTCACTCAATCCACAATAAAAAACTTAAAAACAAAACAAAACAAAAAAAACGCTATGGATTATAATGGTGTGATATGTAACCAGTATGGGGCTGGCGCATGACTTGGCAGTGTTTTGTTCCATCATACATGGGACCACCATGATTCAGGCCCAACTAGACAGCAGCAGCTAACAACAGTATGAATGTGCTAGCTGGAATAGGGGTGCATGTTCATTAACTCACTTAACAAATATTCCTGGGTGACCATATCTGGCCCTACAGTGGGAATGGGGCATTTGACAGCAAGTAAAACAGGCCCTCAAAGCTAATCTTTCAATTGGAAAGGACAACATTTAGGTACATAAGTCACTTCCAATGGTGGGAAGTTTATGGAGAGTGTCATGGGAGTGTGCGCTGCATGGTTATACTGAAACCTGAAGGGGTGTTAACTGGCAACAGAGAAAGCTGGCCGCATGGAAGGGACAGCTAGTGCCAAATGCCCAAGGAAAGAGAGATCCTGCTTGCACAAGAAGTTGCCAGAAGACTAGTGTTACTAGAACAAAGATGGACCGGCGACAGTGAGGAGGTGGGAGGTGAAATGGGGCAGCGGTTTGACTTTTCCTCTCTAGGATGATGGGAGATGGTGGCTGAGTTCTGAGTAAGCCAGTGGTGTGATCCTGTTGGTAAAAAGATCCCTCTGACTACAAGACATTTTTAGAGGGATGGGAGAGGAAGCAGAAAGACCAATTAGGAGAGTGTTGTAATAGCTCTAGGCAAAAGACAGTGGTTTGAAATGGCTGGCGGCAGTGGGCAGATTTTATTTAGGAGAAGAAACTGTGAGGACTTGATGATGAAATGGTTGTGGGTGGTGATGGGAAGAGATGCGTCAAAGATGTCTCCTATATTTCTGGCAAAAAACACCTAGGTTTGGAGGAGTGAGAAGGGAATGGCCATGAATTCACTTTGAACATGTTGCGTTAGAGGTGGTTTTGAGACATCCAAGTAGACAGCCCACTGCCACCAAGTAGATGATGACTCAGATCCACCCTAAAGGACAAAGTAGAATTGGACCTTAGAGTTTCATAGACTGTAAATCTTTACAGAAGCAGACAGCTTCATCTTTCTCTGGAGGAGTGGATGGTGGGTTTGAATTGCTGACCCTTGCAATTAGCAGCCCAATGCTTAACCTTCTGTGCCACCAGGTCTCCTTTGAAAGCAGAGAATCAACTGTTGGATAGAGGGGACCGAAGCTAAGAGCAAAATCAAAGAAATGGGGTGGGGAGTGTCCAAGGAGGGTGTAGGCAATTGTGTGAAATGCTTCTGAGAGTTCTAGTTAGAAGAAATAGAAGAAAGCCCATTAAATTTTGTGGTAAGAAGTCTTTGACTCAGGCAATTCAGGTGTGATGTAGGACAGAGACTTAAATTCAGTGAATTGATGGATGGCTGGGCAAGGCAGACATGGAGACCTGAGAACAGGTAGTTCTTCCCAGATGTTTGTGCAGAGGTAGTCAGAAAAAAGGACGTGGGACTGAGAGGGGTTGGGGTTTTTTCCATTTAGGTTGGGAGAACCTAAACTTCCGCCTGTCTAAATGATGAAGGGAGGGCTTAATAGAAAAGAGTTGATGATTCAGCAGACAGCGAGAGAGTCGGGGTGTCAGGCAGCCCAGAGATGGCATGGTGACTCATACTCTTGCTGTCCTACCAACATAGCACCACGTGGCTCAAGACGGCTGCACGGGTTCCAGCCATTTTGTCCAAGTTCAGCCAGCAGGCAAGAGAGACATCTTGCAAATAACTGATTGATTAACAA